AGTTAAAAAATAAGTTAAAAATTGCTTACATTTCGAAAAAAAAGTCTCAAGATACAGAAAAGTCTCAATTGGAATCAGAAAAAAAGCTACAGTTCTTCAAATAAAACTAAGTGTCAGAATTTACTCAAACTAAGATAAAAACCACTTAACTCAAGCTTTTATTACCTAATGTTGTGTTATTTTTTTCCGTGTGAACCCATGGAATGATAAATTAACCCAGAAGGATTTAGGCTCTGAACCCAAACACACTGTAGGTCTGTTTCTTTGTTTATTGAAAGTTAGGCACCTCAGCTTTAACTTTGTGTCAGGTCACACTGTTATGTGCAGAGTTTGACCCAAGATTCAAACCTTTGAACGGTGAAAAAAAAATCCAGAGAACCAATCAGAGCGAAGAGGGAGGGGCTGGGGGCGGGCCTAAAGTGGCCTGTTTTGTTATTGAACCAATCAGAAGCCAGGGAGGACGAGGAAGAGGCAAGTTCACAATACGGCAGGGCTTCAGTTTGCACTTCAGAAGGTGGGGAGCACTTTTTTGCAACTTTTTTCAATTTCTAGCAGAACTTAGTCATAAACGTGAGGAGACTGTAAACTCTGCTGCGGTCTGGAGTTGGTGAAATCGTCTCGAAAAGATGGTTGTTAGAGATAGTCCCGCCTTCTCCGTGGTCTCGGCCGTCTCCCTATTGGCCTGTGCTCTGCAGGGGGCGGCGGCCTATCTGCTGATGCTGCGAGTGGGCGGGAAATGCTCCACCGTGGACCGCGGCGTGCTGACCTGGCTCTTCTACGACGTCATCGTCCACGTCACCTTGGTACAGTGATGTCACCAGACTAACTTCTACATCGAGTCAATGTGTTTTTGTAGTTCTCTAAATAGTAAATGAGAAAGTGTTTTTAAACAGCGCCACATTTATGTTTATAGAGTCACAAAGCGGGTTCGCCAGGCCAGATATATTGTACATGTTTTTAGTGGTAGGGGAAAACCGGAGCACCTGGAGGAAACCTACACAGAGGGGGACACATGCAAACTCCACACAGAAAGGCCTGGAGGTGGAATCGAACCCAGGACCAAACTCATAGAAGGCTCTGGTCCAGAAGAAGAGAGAGATTTGCTGTAGATCCAGAACGTCTAAAAACAACACATGGATATCATTATTAAAATCTTAAATAACAGAACATTAAAAAGAAAGATTAAAATATAAAATCCCTCAGTTGTAGCACAGCTAAACAGAACTGTCTTTAACCTGGTTTTAAACATTGTCAGAGAGGAGGCCTGTCTCACATCTTCAGGAAGACTGTTTTAGCAGCATGATAAAAATGATCTGTCAATAGAACAAGGAAATGCAAGGTTTCTGAAAATAATCAAATAAAACTAGCTCCAAAATGACTTGATTCTAGTTTAAAACATATATTTCAAGTATTATTTACTTATTTCTGTTGGTTTCTGAAAATACAGCATCAAAGACTTATTTTATCTGAACAAGAACAATACTTAAATCAAGCTGAAAAACTCACTGCTCAGACTTTTTTCTCTAATAAGATTATGTTATGAAGTATTATTCACTTTAAACTAGTAAAATAATCTTATGACAAACTACATTCAAGCAGCAAAATTATTCTCATTTAAAAAAGTATTTAATTAATGTTATTTTTAGTGAATACATTTGGCCGAGATTTGACTTTTTCAGATCAGAAACTCATCCAAACAAACAAAATAAAAAGATAATTCTAAAGGTAGCAAAGAATAATAACAAAAAGCAACGGCACTTTCGGTCACAGCAGCAGAGGTGGAGCAGCCGCATAATAGTAGAGTCTGCATGTTCTCTGCGTGCCTTTGTAGGTTTCCTCCGGGTGCTACGGTTTCCCCTACCACTAAAAACCAAAAAGTGCCCACTGCTCCTGACGTAAGCCTCAGCGGCATCAGGGTCAAATGCAGAGGATGAATTTCCCTACGGGGGTAAATAATGTGCACCTTTACCTTTAATGTGATATAAATGTCACAAATGTAACAATAATCTAGTTCTGGTCCGTGTTAAGGTTAGATCTGTTTCAGGAGGGACCCTTCGTGTGGATGTCTCTGTGGGGGTCCGTGGAGACGTCTGAAGGACCTCTGGCCCAACTGTGTGAGTCCTGCTCTAATAAACTCCACCTCTGCTGCTCTGACCTGTCCCGCTCCACCCAGAGGCTCCACCTCTGCTGCTCTGACCTGTCCCGCTCCACCCAGAGGCTCCACCTCTGCTGCTCTGACCTGTCCCGCTCCACCCAGAGGCTCCACCTCTGCTGCTCTGACCTGTCCCGCTCCACCCAGAGGCTCCACCTCTGCTGCTCTGACCTGTCCCGCTCCACCCAGAGGCTCCACCTCTGCTGCTCTGACCTGTCCCGCTCCACCCAGAAGCTACTCCACCTCTGCTGCTCTGACCTGTCCCGCTCCACCCAGAAGCTACTCCACCTCTGCTGCTCTGACCTGTCCCGCGCTCCACCCAGAAGCTACTCCACCTCTGCTGCTCTGACCCGTCCTGCTCCACCCAGAAGCTACTCCACCTCTGCTGCTGTGACCTGTCCCGCTCCACCCAGAAGCTACTCCACCTCTGCTGCTCTGACCTGTCCCGCTCCACCCAGAAGCTACTCCACCTCTGCTGCTCTGACCTGTCCCGCTCCACCCAGAGGCTCCACCTCTGCTGCTCTGACCTGAGGCTGTGGCTGATACTATTATTAACTGTTTAGAATGATCAATTGTATTTTTTATTTTTGTCTGTCTGTCGTCTATCTATCTACTGTATGTGTCTTTCTGTCTGTCTGTCTATCTAACTATCTGTCTGTCTTTCTGTCTGTCTGTCTATCTAACTATCTGTCTGTCTTTCTGTCTGTCTGTCTGTCGACAGCACGTCTGTAATGGTTTTCATGAACATTATTTGAATTAGTTATAATACTTAACGTTTTTTGGCGCATGAAAAGCTTTGATTTGTGAAAAAGAATGTAAAAGTATATTGAATTTTGAGTGTGGTTGCCGTACAGAAGGCACATGCCAGACCCAGTGAACAAGTTTTTAGTGGTGAAAGAAACCGGAGCACCTGGAGGAAACCGGAGCAAACCCTGTGAGAACATGCAAACTCCACACAGAAAGATCTGAAGTGAATTGAATCGTAAACAGTTAAATGTAATCAGTTTTGGACAGGAGCTGTCGTTCTGAATAGAGTCCTAGAGTCCAGAGAGTGATGTCACGGTTTAGGTGTATTTCCTGTTTTATTTTGTAGTTTGTTAGATCCCTGTGTCGTCCATGGTTCTACTTCCTGTTTCCTGATGCCCCGCCCTCATGTGTCTCACCTGGGTCTCATTAGTCTTGTGTATTTAATCCCTGTTTGTTCATTCACTTCCTGTTCCGTCGTTCTCATTCCACGTCTGTGTCAGTTCTGTCCTCGGCCCCTGGGTTCTCTCTGGATTTGGACTTGGATTACTCGTTATTAGTTAAACAGGACAATTCTTAAAATTTTTAGTATTATTTTATTAAAAGCTGTCTTAGCTTTTCTTACATCTGTTGGTTCCAAACGCTTAAACTCAGAGACCTTTACTTTCTGTGGGAGGAACAGGTGTGTGTGTTTGTGTAGAGTGTGTTTGTGGAGTGTTTGTGTAGAGTGTGTGTGTTTGTGTAGAGTGTTTGTGTGTAGAGTGTTTGTGTTTGTGTAGTGTGTTTTTGTGTAGTGTGTGTGTGTGTTTTTGTGTAGTGTGTGTGTGTGTTTTTGTGTAGTGTGTTTTTGTGTAGTGTGTGTGTGTTTTTGTGTAGTGTGTGTGTGTTTGTGTAGAGTGTTTGTGTAGTGTGTGTGTTTGTGTAGAGTGTTTTTGTGTAGAGTGTTTTTGTGTAGTGTGTGTTTGTGTAGTGTGTGTTTGTGTAGTGTTTTTGTGGAGTGTGTGTGTGTTTTTGTGTAGTGTGTTTTTGTGTAGTGTGTTTTTGTGTAGTGTGTTTTTGTGGTGTGTGTTTTTGTGTATAGTGTGTGTGTTTTTGTGTATAGTGTGTGTGTGTGTGTGTGTTTTTGTGTAGTGTGTTTGTGTAGAGTGTTTGTGTAGAGTGTTTGTGTAGTGTGTGTGTTTGTGTAGAGTGTTTTTGTGTAGAGTGTTTTTGTGTAGTGTTTTTGTGTAGTGTGTGTTTGTGTAGTGTGTGTTTGTGTAGTGTTTTTGTGGAGTGTGTGTGTGTTTTTGTGTAGTGTGTTTTTGTGTAGTGTGTTTTTGTGTAGTGTGTTTTTGTGTAGTGTGTTTTTGTGTAGTGTGTGTGTTTTTGTGTATAGTGTGTGTGTTTTTGTGTATAGTGTGTGTGTTTTTGTGTATAGTGTGTGTGTGTGTTTTTGTGTAGTGTGTGTGTGTGTTTGTGTTTGTGTAGAGTGTGTGTGTCTATGAACTCTTTAAAATGACCCTCGTGACTGATGGCAGCTGCAGAGAAGGCTCGATCCCTGAGGGTTCGGGGACCACTGATTGAAAACCGTAGATATAGACAGCTTCATAACAGGCCAAGGTAATCCTTTAGAGTTTAGACCACACAACTCTTCTCTGTCCTGGGTGTGTGCAGGGCAGGAGTACGGGAAGGCAGACCAGCGCTGGCTCATCTCTGACCCCGGGATCGTGTCTGTGGAGATTCTCACTGTGGTCCTCTGCACGGCTCTCGGTCTCGCTCTGATCCACGCCGTAGTCTACCACAAACACTACAGGTGAGAGTTAGGCTATATCCACACGAAGACAAAACGCTTATATATATATATATATATATAAATAACTTGGCGTGTTGCAGGCACTTGCTGCAGATATCCCTGAGCGTGTGTGAGCTGTACGGAGGCTGGATGACCTTTGCTCCGGACTGGCTCCAGGGCTCTCCTCACCTGAACCGGGCCTCTTCCTGGTTGCACCTGTGGGTCTACCTGGTCTTCTTCAACGGCATCTGGGTCCTAGTGCCTGGACTGTTGCTGCTGCAGTCCTGGGGCGCACTGAGGGCCCTGCACCGGGACCAGGGGAAGCACCGATGACACTGCAGCCGATGGAAGGGAGAGAAATGATGAGGAAATAACATGTATTCAAGATTTAATGTCTTTGAAAATAGAACAGTCAATTTGACGGTTTTAGAATTGTAATCACTGCTCATATACCCAGTTTTTGTTCATAACTGACTTTTTTGATTGGAGTTAAAGCCTTTTTTCCAAAGGGCTGGTTATGGACTTTTTTTTTTTTTCAGTAATGCGTAAAACAGACAAAAGATGGAACCTCAAAACGTTTCTATAAGAGACAGAAAATAAAATGTGTGATAAATTGTAGAGAAACTTTTGTGGGAAGCCATGTCACGGTATAGAAAGTGTCCTGCACTAAAGAGGAACTGTAGCAACTCTGTAGACCCAGGGACCGAGGCTGTAGACCCAGGGACCGAGGCTGTAGACCCAGGGACCGAGGCTGTAGACCCAGGGACCGAGGCTGTAGACCCAGGGACCGAGGCTGTAGACCCAGGGACCGAGGCTGTAGACCCAGGGACCGAGGCTGTAGACCCGGGTACCGAGGCTGTAGACCCAGGATCTAGGGCCGGCAAGAGTCCCTTCTTTGCAAAGTACTTTTCTCTTATTGCTACTTAAACCACACTGAGGGATTAGGCCTAACATGAGATATAATTGACGTCACAGATATTTAGATTTGGATTCATGTTTAAATTCTTCAATGTCTTTTAAATCTATTTTCTGTCTCTTTTTCTTTCTTTCAAACATGAACCTGTATTTTAAATCAATAACGAACGCTGTACTGGAAAACAACTATTTATTACAAAGAAAGTCCTTGTCGAACGATTCACTTCTTTCCGTGGAGCTGTTTTATTTCTAAGTTTTGAGATTTCCACAGAACCGTCGTCTTGTTTCGAGCCTTTTTCTCTTTCAGAAACACTTATGTTTGTGTGGGTTTGTTTACAGACACAGGACGGTAGAACGAAGACACATGAACAATAACTCGATAATAAAATAATTAAGCATTTTATTTCCCTGACAATTGTTTCTTACTTCAGGATGACGGAGGCTGCGTACCAACAAAATAAAAGCTCATATTTCAAAATAAAATTAGCAGACAATAAACTAATTTCGGAACATTGGTCTTTGAGCCTGAAGGTCGTGGGTTCGATCTGAGACCTTCTCCACCGACTCCCACTGATGTCTGCTGTCGTTGTGTCCTTGGGCAAGACACTTAACCGCACTTTGCCTAAAGCTCAAGGCTCCTGTGGACTCAGCACCTGCAGGAGGATCAGTGAGGACCAGGAGGAGCAGGAGGATGATGGAGGAACAGGAGGAGCAAGAGGATCAGTGAGGAGCAGGAGGAGCAGGAGGATCAGTGAGGACCAGGAGGATCAGTGAGGACCAGGAGGAGCAGGAGGATCAGTGAGGACCAGGAGGAGCAGGAGGATGATGGAGGACCAGGAGGAGCAAGAGGATCAGTGAGGACCAGGAGGAGCAGGAGGATGATGGAGGACCAGGAGGAGCAAGAGGATCAGTGAGGACCAGGAGGAGCAGGAGGATGATGGAGGACCAGGAGGAGCAAGAGGATCAGTGAGGACCAGGAGGAGCAAGAGGATCAGTGAGGACCAGGAGGAGCAAGAGGATCAGTGAGGAGCAGGAGGAGCAGGAGGATCAGTGAGGACCAGGAGGAGCAGGAGGATCAGTGAGAGGCTGGTGCTCTGTGTACTGGGTGCAGCTTTGACCCAGAAATGGATTAAGGGGAAGAAAATTGATGGGAAAAGTATTTGCAGAACTTACAGATTCATTTTATTTGCCATTAACAATTAAAACCACATTAGAATATATGTACAAAAGTCCCCCAGTGTGCACCAGACTAACATAAACAGTACAAGAAACAATGGCCATAATACAAGTGCAAGATCATTCCATGCTTTGTTCAGACTGATAACAGTAATGGAAAGAAGCTGTTAGCATGTTAGCATATCCAGATGTTCTTAACCGGCCAACCATAACTTCAGCCGTAGGGAAGAAGCTGGAACATGGCTTTTCCAGGGGCCAGAGTCATTGATTATTTGAAAAGCTAGATCTACGAGTCTGTTTTTGAGTGTCTGTCTTCCTGTTTTGACCGACTTGTGTCCGTGTGACCACTCTGCTGCTCTCTGATTGGCTGCTGCACAAGCGAGGAGCGAGGAAGCTGAACAATGTCCATCTCCTGCGTTCACAGCTTGTGTCGAGTCGCAGTACTTGTCGTGTTATATCAATAATATTTGCACCGACGTACATCACCATTGACTTTGCATTTAAACTCACTGCACGCCTGATCCGGAGTTAACGCCTCTTTTTAGAGTTTGTTGTGAAATAATTTCTAACGGGCAAAACAAGCACATCATTAGAGGCAGTTCAATGTGGAGTCCCCACAGACCCAGCTGTGGACGACCAAAAAAGGACAGTCCAAAGTCCGGGGCAAAAACACAGAGGCAAAGACAAGGACAATGGACCAGCAACAGCATGAGCACAAGGTAAACAAAGACACACAGACACAGGTGAAAGAGGTCAAGGCTGAGAACTGAGAACTCAAAATAAAACCCTGCACCAATTATTAACAAAACCTACATCGTGACAGCATGTCCTCTGTCGGGAGGATTAGGCCCTGTTTAGACGAAGGCTGCGCAGACGTTGCCAATTATGAACAGAAACGACCAGGCTCCTTATGCAAATTCACGGCGTTCATACGTGGATGAAAAACGGTGTAGTTCTAGCGCCCAGGAAACTTTCTTTCTTTTGGACGGAGTCTACAGAGAAGAAGAATCCTCCTCTGTGTAGCGCTTGAAGCAGACGTAGCTAATCAGCGTACCCGCCGCCATTGTTGTTTACGTTTGTTCTCGGCTACTGCGCATGTCCAAATGTGGGGGAGCTGGGGTCAGAGCAGCAAAGAATTCGCACCTTCCTCTTCACGCTTTTCCTGCCACAGCGTCTCCGTCTAAATTGGACTCAAAACAATTCTCTCCCTTGAACACTAAGCAACAACAGGTGTAAGGATCAGGGGAGCAGTGTTTTTGTCAGAGTAACACGATCCAGGACTGAGCAGTGGAAGGACGTCTGTGCGAAAATAGCAGTCAGTGAAGGAGTCCACGATTGTTGATGTTTCTGTGTCAAAGAAACAGACCAGACCCTCGTCGTAGTCCACAAACACACCGACCTTTTCTGTAGAAGACCAGCGGTTCCTTTGATTCCCACCGGCCTTGACCCAGTATCCATTTTCAGGAGTTAAGTCGTCAGGTTTCAGTTTCCTATTAGCATCTCCTTCAGTGACGCCGAGGAACCACTGTGGTTTGTCTTTGACTTGAACCTCAAAGTAAAACTGACCAGCGGAAAACTTTTCTTTTCCTAAAACATTGTACAATTTTGAAAACCTTTGAGGGTTGTCTACTCGAGGATTTACTTGGGGACTGCAAAGAACGAGTTTATTACGGAGGGACAGGTGTAGGTTGGGATGGGCTGTGAGTGGGTCTAGAGTCACCTCGACTGAGTATTTCTTTGCCTGTTTCAGTGCTTCTTCGACAGCGATCCTTATTTTTGGAAACAGTTTGATCTTTAACTCAGACAGAGCTATGTCAAATCTGCCTTTGTACGATGGAACTTGAACAGAGACTTCTGTCCAGTCATTCAGCTCTGGAGCAGGTTTGACTGAAGTAAAGAATTGTATATAATCTAAATGGTTGTCGGAGTTCAATGCCTCCTCCATCTCCTTTTGCCTCAGCTCCAACTCAGAGATTTCCGACTGTAGATCTGCCATTAACCCTTCTGCATCCTCCTTCACTTCCTCGTGCTTCTTTTCAATGCTCTGTCTGAACTGAACCATACTTTGTAGAACACTTTTGATGATGTCGTTGAAGAATTGGACTCCTTCTTCCTCTTCGGCGTTGGCCTTGGTGAGACTGAGATCCACTGAGCGCTGCACCTCCAGCACTTTGCCTCTTCTCTCCTGAATCTTCTGCTGCAGGTCTTTCTTCTGGGCCTCGCACTGCTCCTTCAGTGGGACAGTGTGGTGGTCTTTGTGCAGGGTGTAGGTGCACAGGACGCAGAGGGGCTGGCGGTGGTCTCTGCAGTAGAACTCCAGAGGGCGATCGTGCTCTGGGCAGATGAGCTGGTCCAGGTCGTGCTCGGGCCGGATCAGCTGGTGCCTCTGCAGACGGGGCACAGTGTGGTGAGGCTGCAGGTGGAGCGAGCAGAAGGACATGTGGCACATGAGGCAGGACTTCAGCGCCTGCAGCTTTACATCTGGACACACGTCACACACAACAGCTCCTGCTTCTGCTGCCCCCAGCTCTGGTCTGCAGCCCGGTTTGTTCTTAAACTCGCTCAGCATCTCGGACATAAACCTGTTGATCTTTAAGTTTGGTCTTGAGCTGAACTCCTCGTTGCAGACAGGGCAGAGGCAGCTCTCGGAGACGTCCCAGTGCTTGTTGAGGCAGGAGGAGCAGAAGCTGTGTCCACACGCTGTGGTCACCGGGTCCGTGAAGACCTCCAAACAGATGGAGCACAGGAACTGGTCTTCAGACGTGGCAAAGCTCACACTCGCCATGCTGCAGACACAGGAAACAAAGCCTTAAATTGTTAGATCTAAGATGGCGTCGCGTATGGTTGCCTAGGTTCTCTAGTGCGCTCTTTTCCTCTTTTAATAATAGTGTCTCTGCTCCTACACCAGTGGGGAGCTTCTAAACATCAGACCTACCATCCCGATGGACCTAGTGGCAGTCATTGTCCCGGTCCCCAAGAAGACTCGGATCACTGGACTCAATGACTACAGACCTGTGGCACTGACATCTGTAGTTATGAAGTCATTTGAACGCCTGGACCCCCCACCTCAAGTCCTTCACCTCCCCCCTCCTGGACCCCCTGCAGTTCGCCTACAGAGCCAACAGATCTGTAGACGACGCCATCAACCTGGCCCTCCACCACATCCTACAGCACCTGGACTCCCCGGGGACCTACGCCAGGGTCCTGTTCGTGGACTTCAGCTCTGCCTTCAACACGATCCT